GGTCTTCCGAGAGAGTGGTGGGTGGGGTAGTGTGTGTTAGCGCGTGTGTGTGCAGCGTAGTGACTAATGCGAGACGGACCCGATGATTGACGCCCACCAGCCCAGCCAAGTGTCTAAATCAGTCGTCTACTCACCTGACCATCGAGCTACTCACACACACACAAAGAGAGGAAGAGAGAGGTTAAAAAGCGGTCAAAAGCGGTCAGGTCACTACTGAGAGGTCTCACAATGTCGCTCAACCTACCCCTCACCCTCTCTCTCTCTCGCCCCCTCTATGTCCCTCCCTGCCGCGCTGGCCGCGCCCACGCCATACACAAAGTCCAAAGCCGCCGTCAGATGCTCCTCTGCCGCGAGATACAGCGCAAACCCTGCAGAGGGGTCCTGCAGCAGTGGCAGCGTCGCCGCGATGAAGGCTGTGGGAGGGAGGGGCGTTGGGGCGGTGGTGAGACACTCGTGCAGACGCTGCAGCAGCTGCACACACACACACACACAGAGAGAGAGAGAGGGAGGGTGGAGGAGCGCCCACATTCGCTCAGCTCACCTGTTGGCAGATGTGTGGCTGTCTGAAGATGGCCGCCACGCAGTTGACGGCCTCCTGCGCCTCTGGCAGAGGTACCCCACTCGTCGACTGCAGCTGCTCGACCACACCCACACCGTTGGGCATGACCTCGGCCTCTGGTGCTGGTGGTTGTGGTGCTGGCAGAGGGGAGGGGGCGATGTGCATAGACTCTGCGCGTGTGGCCGTGAGGACTGCTGGTTGAGCTGCCGGTGGTGGTGGCGGTGGTGCGGCCATCAGCCGTTGCAGCTCTCTGCAGACAAAGACACAGAGAGAGAGGGAGAGAGAGGAAGAGGGAGAGGGAGGGGGGGATGGATGGCTTAGGAGAGAGGCTACTCTTCGATTCTGGCGTGTTCGTCCTCAATCTCGTCAATTTCCGACTGCAGCCGCGCCATCGAGTGGCCCTCCACCGGCACACCGTTGCCGACGGCATCACCACCACCATCACCACCAGCAGGCTTGGCGGCCTCCTCTGCACACACACACACACACACACGGACACACGCAGAGAGAGAGACGGAGAGATATGGTGAACGGATCATTTTCTCACCGGCATTTCCATTCTTCTTCTGCTGCTGCTGCTGTGGTGTGTGTTGGGCTGCTTCCTTCTCGCCATCTCCAGCTGCAGGCGTCGCACCGACCTCGACATCGACATGGACGTGCAGCAGCCGCATGGCGTTGCTCACACAGGGCCACGGCGAGGCCCCCCACCCACTGAAGAGGTTCCGCGCCTTGACCACCCAGTCCTCAGCCAGTGACAGTGACAGCCCCATCTGAGGAGGGAAATGCGCCGCCAAGGCGAGCGTCTCTGCGAGAAATGGCGCGCTGAGAGTGACGATGCCTGCACACACACACACACACACACACAGAGTGAGAGAGAGAGAAAGAGAGAGAGAGAGAGAGGTATCACTCACTCAGTCTGTGTGCTTACCGGCCTCTCCATCAACCGCCGGCCGCAGCGGGTGCATCTGGTCCATGGCGGGGCTCCATGCAAGCGAAATCAAACCCATCAGACAGCTGGGGGCGACCGTGTTGCCATATTTGTCACCACCGCCACCGCCAGCCCCATCCGTCAGCGAGCGGAAGAACAGGTCGGTGAGCCACTCGAGCAGCCGAAGGAGGGTGGGCGGCTGGCAGGGAGCGAAGAGGGCGGTGAGGGTGGCGGCGTCACACTGACTGAGGTACTCTGCCAACACCTACAATGAGAGAGAGAGAGAGGGAGGGAGGGGATGGATGGATGGATGATACACGCACACAGAGAGAGAGAGAGAGGCTTACCTGGACAATCCGCGAGAGCAGGGCGCTTCTCAGCTCTGCACTGTCCACCACGCCCGCCACACCCAAGTCGACAGCCGCCCCCAAAGCCACGAGCATCAGCACGGGATGGCCGCCCTCATTCTCCTTCACCAAACCCCGATAAGCATAACCCTGAGAACACCCCTGACCCCTCACACGCGCCGACAGCTCCTCAAGGGAATCGAGCACTGCTGTCTGCGGATGTGGCTGTGGTGGTGGTGACGATAGTGTCGATTCCTTCCACAGGCCCAGCACGCCATCGCCACCACTCATTTGCTGGTGGCTGCCGTGGTGGGAGTCCGTCATGAGCAGGGACCACACACGGTGGGCAGGGAGGGAGGGGTGGATGGACACCCACTCGCAGGGCGGCTGGAGCGTCAGCAGGACGGCTGTGAGAGAGAGCTCCTCCCTGTCTCTGCAGAGGTCCTGCGCCGCGATGAACACCGTGAGCGCCTCGGCATACACCTCTTTCGGCCACATTGCCCCAATCTTGCCATCAAGCAGCGTCTGCAGGAGGCTCAGACACGCCAGATGGACACAGCTCTTGAGCAGCACAGCAGCGCGGCTGTCACACTGTTGAAGTTGAAGCAGTCGCGCCATTAGCCGAGCGGCCAGCTGCACCATGGCCATGGCGTTCGTCGGCTCCCGCAGGGCGATGTGGAGGGGCATGCACCCGACGACCCTCTCCAGCACCATGGCCGTCAGCTCACAGTCGTCACGCGTCTCGAAGGACACCAGCAGTGGCGGCAGCACACCGATGTGTTGCTGCTGCTGAGAGGTGAGAAGGTTCCCCGCTAGGACGTTCGGCGACAGAACGATCTCTGCGACTTGCCGCCGGCCGTCCAGCACTGTGGCTCTGTCCACTGCTGCTGCTGCTGCTGTTGCTGAGGGTGAGGAGCTCTTGGTCAACAGGGGTGTCCCAGTGCCCATGATGGCCTCTTGCAGGTCTTCCATCTGGCTGCTGAGGTCTTGCCGCGATGTGGTGCTGACGGCGGGGAGGGTGTGGAGAGCTTCGCTGGCCTCCCACTCGGCCAAGGAGAGGTACCGACGCCCATCTTCTCGATAAGTGCGGCCAGCTGACCGCACAGAGAGACACACAGAGGACGACAGACAGATGCCTCCATGAACGGCCTCGTGTGTGTGTGAGGGGGGGGAGGAGGGGGGCTGACCTGGTGGCAGCTCTGTGATGCCTTGAGCAGCAGCAGCAGCAGCCGGTGGTGGTGCTGTCTCAGAGGTGTCTTTGCCCATGACAGCGGCACGCGCACGCCCCACCACGTCAGAGGCCTTCACCGGCTCACCCTCACCATCGCCGCCATCGCTCGTTGCTGTCGAAGAGAACACCTCCAGCACGAGCATCGACACAAGCGCCGCCAACAGGGCGGGGTCGTCAGCTGACACCGACACCGAGCCCCCCTCTCCCTCTCCCTCTCTGTGTGTTGTGGCGGGCAGAATGGGCGTGTAGAATGTGGCGACGATGCGGCGGAGCTTGTTGGTCTTGACGAGTGACCAGAGGGCGGCTGTGGTGTGGGGGCTGGCGGCGAGCTGCGCTATGGCGGAGCGAGCACGGTGGGCGGCTTTGGTCAGCCACTGCTGGTTGTGTGTCTGTCTGGCGTGCCACCAGAGGCCTGACAGACAGGTCAACAGACAGACAGACAGACAGACAGTGGATGAGGGAAGATCCCAAGCTGCATTGAGGAGGTCTCTCCGTCTCTCTCTCTCTCTCTCTGTGTGTGTGTGTGTGTGTGTGTCTTACTGAGCATCAGGTCGCAGAGGTGCTTCATGGCCTTGTCCGCCGTGTCAGCACCACCACCATCAGCAGCGACAAGAACTACTCGCCCCCTCAGCGCTCCAATCAGCCACTCACACAGCTCCCTCTGCACATGCGCCACCGTCATTGCCAGCACGATGCTCGCCCACACCTGAGTGGCGCCACTCAGCAGCTCGCCGCCCCCCTCAGCAATGGCAGCATGCAGCGACCGCACCAGCAGGGACCCATAGAGCTGCCGCAGCACCGGGGTGATCTGCGCCCCTGCCAGTGCGTCCCTCAACGAGTCGCGCCTCTCCAAGTTGTCTGTCTCGGAGCTCGACGGCCGTCGCAGCGACAGGCCGAACTGCAGCTGGATGACCCTGTTGTCGAATGGCACCTTGGCAAGGAGGCCGTCGAGGGAGGCCAGAAACGAGGCCTCTGCAGGGGTGGGTGTGGCTGTGGGTGGCTGTGCTCCGAGGTCACGCAGTAGAGGGAGGGCGGAGTCGCCGTGGAATGGCGCTGTTGATGTAGAGGGGTGTGGCTGTGGCTGTGGCTGTGAGGGTGAGAGCACTGGGCGGCACGTCGACCAGAGAGCGTAGGTCACTATGTGAGATCTCGCCTGCAAACACAAGAGCCAGCAGCGCGCGTGTGTGTGTGTGTGTGTGTGTGAGAGGGGTTGGGACCTGCAGCAGCCCGACGGACTGCTTTGTGATGTCCTCCAGACACCGCGACACGTCACCCCACACCCCACCATCACCAGCGCCACCACCAGCAGCACACCCAAACAGCCACTTCATCAGTGCTGACGGCTCCAGCCGCCTGTGACACCCACCACGACACACACACGCTCTCCCTCTCTCCCTCTGTCTCTCTGTGGCACTTTTCGCTCACCGAATGGCGGCTGCAAGTATGTCCATCGCCCAGCACTGGACCTCCTGGTTGCAGGACGAGAGCAGCTCCACCAGCAGCCGAGAGAAGGGGCCGCCCGACGTCAGCCACGAGGCGATGAAGCGGTTCGGGAGGAAGTGCGTCAGCTGGGAGAGCAGACACGCCACCTTATACCTGTGAAGACACACACGCGCACCCCACACACACTCCCTCCGTCTCTCTCTCTCTCTCTGAAGGGTCATTACTTGAGCGTCGCCTTCAACTGCGCGCCCTCCTGGCCCATCTTGGTGGTCGGCAGGAGACACAGCTCGCTCAGCCGGCCAACCACAGCGGCCTGCCCGAGGGGCACCAATGCGCTCGCCGCCTCGAGCACCGCCCCGCTCTCTCTCCGCCCTCCTCTCTCACCCACGCCCCATGAGACCACAGCTAAGGACGGTTCTTGTTGGTCTGTGCGGTCAGCTGTCGCTGATGCGGTTGCGGTGAGGAGTAGGCTGAGTGCGCCGTCGATGACGGCCGTGGTGGTCTGCAGCTCCTGGACCAGCTGCACCAGCTGCCCGTTGGCTGAACCACACAGGCAACGAGGCACCACACACACAGACACGGACAGAGGTCTCTCTCTGTCTGTCTGTGTGAGTGTGGGTGTGTCAGTGGTGTGGGTCACCTGACAGCAGAATCGCCTGTGCGAGCAGGTCCCCCAAGCCGCTCTCCCCGCCCAGCAGCTCGCGGCTCAGCGCCGGCGGCATGTGCCTCGGCGGCGTCCTCAGCAGATTCAGCGCACAATACAGCAGCGGCTGGCTCCTCCTGCCCTCTCCCTCCCCCTCCCCCTCTCCCTGATCCAGCTCGTCGTGACACATACCGACGAGAACTGCCGGTGTGTGGACGGGCAGCGCGGCAGCAAAATCGAAGGAGCCGCTCAGGGTGAGCAGCAGGTTCGCCAGCAGCCTCCCCGTCTCTCCTTTGTCACTCTCTCTCGAGCGGCGCCTTCTCCGCCCGAGTGCGTCAAGGATCGCCGTGATGCTCTCTCGCTGCAGCAGAAGGGACCTAAAGCCCGGCAGCGCCGTGAAGCGGGTCAACAGGCCGAGCAGCTCGCACGTCAGCTCTTCCAGCATCAGCTCAGTGTGGCCATCGTCAGACGCAGACACGGCCACGGTGAGGCTCCAGGTTAGGAACCGCACTCGGCTCTGCCGGGTGCCGATCTGGTGGGCGATTGCGTCGCTGAGCTGCTCGCTGCTTCGGGAGAGCAGGTGCAGCGTCCGCAGGCACAGCAGCAGGCAGAGATGCGATGATGCTGCTGCTGCTGCTGCTGTGGGAGGGGAGAGGGAGGGGGAGAGGTTCCTGGCGCACCAGTCGAGTGTGCCGACCACCAGGCCGACAGAGGTGTCGTCCTTGAGAGCCTCCACGCCATCGGGGTCGAGGCGCAGCAGTCCTACACACGACACACGCAGATCAGAATTTGTTTCTCGCCGGTTCAATCGGCGTACCCAGGAAGAGCTGCAGCAGACACACAGCCGTTGCCGGCGCCATTGCGGCTGCCGGCGTCCCCTCGTCAGACTGGGCGTCTACTGCTGTGTCTTCATCTGCTAGGTGAGGGAGGGAGTAGAGGATACCCTGACCGACCACACACACACACACACACAGGTGTCTGGTCTGGTGTGTGCAGGTCTTTCTTTCGCCCTCTTACGTGTCGGCGTATGAGCGTGCCAGTGTCGAAGGTGCAGACCTTGCTCAGACGCAGCACCACTCTCACCAGCCGCGCACCGCCCCTCCCCGCCGCAATCAGCCTCCACCCTTTAGCAATCAACTCATCCCGGCAAGATCTCTGCTCTCTTGGGGGGTTTGGTGCCGTGGCCGCTGTGATGACGGCCGTGATCTCCTCGCACAGTGCCGCAGCCTCCTCGTCTGAGCTGCTGACTGGGGACAGGGTATCGCCATCGTCGTCTGGCGACGCCAGATGGTGATATGCGTCAATCTCAGTGTGCAGGCTGTCCATTGATGGCCACGGTGGGAATACCTGACGCCCGCGCTAGCTCGGTAGCAGCGGTTTCAGAAAGCACCCTAGGCTCGCAGGCGCGAGCTTGCACAAGAACATTTTTAGAAACTTGAAGTGAAGCAGGTGGAGGGTTGAGGTGTAGGGAGGGCGATGGCTGTTGAGAGTCAGCAACGGTCCGCACCGAGTGCCAACACACTCTTTGGCGGCGTCAGATGTCTGCTGTGTGGAGGTGCCCATTTCACTGAGGACTGCCGGCGGACTATGATCAGCGGCGTCGGTGAGTGAGCACCAGATACGATCAGTGCGATGTCTGTCTGTCTGTCCTTGATGCGTCTGTGTGTGCGTGTGCAGGTGGCACTGGCCACCACACCGAGGACCGGCGCACCATCGTCTGTGACAGTAAGCCGCAACACCCACACAGCTGAGCTCACTACAATCCGCCACCAGCCTCACCCCCGTGTCTGTCTGTCATTGGCTCGTTGGTTGACGACAGAGTGCGGCAGGCCGGGTCACCGGCGGCAGGAGTGCCGCGTCAATGTCTGTGGACGGTGCGGCAAGAGCGGCCACAAGGAGGCCGAATGCCACGCCGACCCTAATCTGTTCTGCAAGCGCTGCGGACGGAGAGGACACCTCGCGAGGGCATGCCCCAAGGTGGTCAATGAAGAGTCATCCATGGGGGGTCACACAGAGGTGATGTGTCTTATGGTGGTGTGTTGTCTTATGTGTCTGTGGTGCAGTTTGTGTGTCGGTGGTGCGGCCAAATGGGACACAGACCGATCAACTGCCCAAAGAACCCCAATCAGTGAGCCTGGCTGTCTGTCTGTCTGTCTGTGTCACACGTGTGTGTCTGTGTGTGTGTGTTCAAAGGGTCGACCGGCGGCTGCGGAGGATGGACCAGCGCGCCAAAGACACCAGGGCCTTCCACATGTACGCCACCGACACACACACATAGCAGTCAAGTTACTCATGTGTGTGCGGTGTTCGTGTGATGGTGTGTGCAGGGAGCGTGCCAATGCTGAGCTGAGTGAGCCCGTCGGCGCCTCACTGCTCAGAGAAATCGCAGCAAAGTACACAGACACACTCACCCCACCGACCCCTGCACACCTCAGTGTGTGTGTGTGCGTGTGTGTGCAGCAAGCAAGACGATCTCGTGCCCCCGCCCCCCTCAGCATCAGCCGCGTCAGCATCGCCACCAGCGGCCCCCCTCCCCCTCTCTAACCAGCAGCCGCTCATTCGGATAAAGCGCAAGCACACCGACACAACTGTCGCAGGGAGAGAGGCAGAGGCAGAGCAACAGCCAGAAGGAGACATCAAGAGGGTCCATCGGGACGATGACAGCGACACCGCCGCGGTGGCAGCAGGGAGGGGCAAAGAGGTCAGTGAGGGTCTGATGGCTGCCTTGCTGTTGGGTTATGGTGACGATGACGATGACGATGAGGGCGGGTGAATGATTGAGGGGCGAGAGGGACGCATCGATGTGCCATCTGTCAGTGTCTTTTTCGATGGCGTGTGAGCGCCACGTATGTCATGCCGTCATGTTGATACATATCGACGATGGACAATTTTCGACGACCAAACCGAGCCAATGGTTGGTTCCTGGCTACCCCCTTCTTGGCAAGATGTTGACAGAAACGGATCACCGAAATGTCGTTGGCGGATATTCCGCGGGCGAGGGTTTAAGACAGGAGATTAAGGGCTTAACAAACAATACATTCACTCCTCAGCACGCCAAGTCGATTACAGACATTAACACACATCATCACAATTGCATCATCAGGCAGGCCACCGAGAACAGTACATCTCTCCCTCCCTCCCGCCCTCCCTCTCAGTTGATGCCGAGTGTCACCCACTGCCCCCGCTCGTCGATGCGGCCCAGCTGCTGCCACCCACCATACTGACAGTCCTCATTGCCCAAATGGTCGTTGAAGCCCTTGTTGATGGCCCCCTCCTGTATGCCGTGTCGGGCCGCCTCGTCCAGCCGGGCCCTTTGCACCACCTCACGCACACCAACACGGCCCCGTGTGTGGACCACCTGGTGTGGGCGGCTGTCGGCCCTGATGGCGAAGCACTGCAGCGGCACCCGCACCGTCACGCCGCCCACATTGGCCGTCCCGCCCACCACCTCCCTGTTGCTGCTGGCATACAGCGCCGACTTGATGAAATGGTCGACGGCCGCACACACGCGGCGGGCCATGTCGCTGTGCCGGATGACGATGTTGGCAGTGATGGCCTCGTTGGCGGCGTCTTGGTCGAAGCACATGGCGGCGATCCGCCAGCCGATGGCCTCTGCCTCGTGTGGGCCGTAGCCAGGGGGGGCGGGGAGGGGGGCGGGGGGCGGATCGGCCGCAGGTGTGCCAGGGGGCTGCAGCAGGTGGGGGAGGAGAGTGGGGAGCGATCTCATCAGGAAGGCCGCCAGCGACCGCTGAGGGGCGAGGGCGGCATTCACAGCCGCCATCGCCCCCGTGTGCACGTCGGTGTTGAGGACTGTCGTGCAGTGGGGCAGCACCAGGTCGCGAAAGCGGCGGTCGTGCTCGGTGTCTGTGGGGATGCGGCCGATGTCCGCCCCGCTTCGCAGCAAGCTGCGGATGATGGTTTCATAAAGGGGAATCTTCCTGGTGGCTTGGTTCTTCTCCCATTCATCCCTGTCGTCGTCTTCCAAGATTTCAAACGACAAGTCGAGTTGATCACCGGCCACGTAAAGGGGCGTTTCGTTGGGGTTGAACCGTGTTTCTCTGTTGATGTCCGCTGGCAGAAGATGGCGGCACAGATTGTCCGCCATACAGGGAGCACCGTCACCAAAAACGACACCTGCCGCCTTGTGTAGGTATGAACATCCATACGCATCCACTGCCGTCACATTGGCCCCGTTGTCCACCAGCAGGTCGAGATATGAATCAATGAAGGCCTGCGAATAGCGGCCTAGCTCGTTGGAGCATGCACTTGAGATCAAATCGCGTTCGGTTGCGAGTGTGGCGTCGTGGAGGATGAGCCGGCGGTAGATCGACAGCAGCCGCTGCTCATAGGCGAGGGACACCTGCTGGCCGATTCGGTCGTCGGAGACGGATTTGGGCAGCTCCATGATCAACAAAGGGCCATCAGGAGGGCGCACCGGAGCGCCATGCGCCAAGAGAACCCTCACGGCCTCCTCGTTTCCCAAACGGATTGCCATCTTGATGGGCCGGTCATCCGAAAGGGCCGGCCGATTGACGCGGGCGCCTCCGTCGATGAGGGAATTGATGATGACCGCTTCCAGCTCAGGCGATGACCAGTGAGGCAAGGCTGCGAACGGCTGCAGGCCACCGTTGCTGTCTGTCACCTCGCCAGTCCACATGGCATTGTCGCTGAGGTTGTCGATAGCGAGCGAGAGCAGCCGATACCGCCACCCATCACTGCCGCTGCCCCGCACACGCAGCCCGATCTCACGATTGGGGTCGGCACCATTGTGGATGAGGTTTGTGACCTGCTGCTGGTGGGTGAAGGTCCGACGGAAGATGCCCTCAGCCAGCCGTCGGGTCGCATCGCAGCTGTCGTCACTTTGGGCGATTTCGATGTCCTCGAGCCCCAGACAGCCGTCAGGCTGCTGGCCTTCCGCACTGCCAGAGGCCATATCTCCAAACTGCAAACATCGTCACACATAAGTAGCAGCACATCACACACACGCGATGCCTTTTCCCATCCTCTCTCTCTCTCCCTCTCTCTCTCTCTCTCTCTGTGTGGACCCATTCGCACCTTCTCTGTGGGTGTGTGCTGCGTCGAGTCAGTCTTCACTGCCCACCGAGAGATCAGTCAGTTCACTGCAAAGCACACGCAATCAACAAATGCCATCAGCCCTCTGCATGCCTCCCCTCCCCGCACCTCAAGACTGAACAGATGATATTGACAGCAATATGCGACAGGTGTGGTCCAACAAGGAGGAGCTACCTCTGCCAAGCTCAGACTGGAATCCTCCGTGTTTCTCTCCTCTCCTCCCCTCTCCTCTCCTCTCCCCTCCCCTTCCTTCCCCTCTCCTTACCTTTCGATCTCGCAAGTCGCGCGGCACGCCGACGGAAGAAACAGAGGAGCTGAATGTCTTTATCACGCAGATCTCGCATAACGAAGCTGAAACGAGAATTTTTGCAACCTTGGTAGAGACGGGTTTAGGGTTTATGGGGGTCGAGAAACCCTTGACCCTGCCAAACCGCTGCTGCTTGACCCTGCCAAACGAATGGCGGGCCAAGCTGGCCATGTGACGCTTTCGCAGCAACCATGATGGACGATGGGGTGGTGGATGAGTGGTTTGAGGTGGCGTGACGGACCGATTTTGGCTACAACGGGGGAACCACGGGAACCAGCACTGTGCGCTGCTGGACAAGCGGTGTGAATCATGCAGTCAGTCGGACGACTAACCTACTAGACCGAATCGGTCGACTTCGGATTGACTCGATCTTTTGTCCAAGTCATGCGCACATGGCAGAATCAACCAACGTGTCGACAAACACGCCTCCTAGGGCTGAGTCGATGGTTCTCGTCCTAACCCAAATTACGTGCATATCATTCCCCCCCTCGCACACACATGCGTACTTTCACACATCCATTGAAATGGGTGGCTCATTGCGATGCATCAACCACCGACAAAGACGCCACAAAACTGCACAAGTGACGATCTTGACAGCATAAGAGCAAGAACACATACAGAACAATCAGCAATAAGCCGCCCCATCGACTCCGATGACCTGCCCCGACACCCAGCCCATGTCTTCGCTGGCGAGGGCCACACACAGGGCCGCGACCTCTTTCGCCTCGCCGATCCTCTTGAACGGCGACATGGCCTCTCTGTCTTTCCTCATGGAGGCAGGGAACATACCTTGTGCACACAGAGACATAGGCTTTAGGACACACAGATGACTAGCGAAAAAACGCGAAGTTCGCCCTTGTTCTTTCTTCTCTCGACCTGGCAGCACTGGTCCTGGGGCAACAGCATTGACCCGAATGCCCTTCTCGCCCGCCTGTTGGAGCGTGGAGGCACACAGGCAGGGAGGGGAGGGGAGGATTATGAGCGTGTGTGGGTGTGGGAGGTGTGCAGAAATCACCTCTTTGGCCCCGCACTTCGTGAGCATATTCACAGCCGCCTTAGTATAACTCGTATGATACAAGGAAAGCGAATGAGAATGGTAGGATCTTTACTACTATAGTGATTCAGAAGACCTTGGACGCGCAGTAGCAGACGTGGTCGGCAATCGGATGGCTCCCCGCCACGCTGCTGTTGAGAATGATGACGCCCCCCTTGCCCATCCGCTTGATGGCCTCCTGCATCGAGAAGAACGTTCCCTGCACCCACCCATTCCCCCCGCCATACGCAGAGATGCTGTTACGTAGAGGCCTGCTTGTCTCTCTCTCTCTCTCCCCGTTCCCTGTCAGGGTATGTGTGTGTACCGACTTGCCGACCTTGACGTTGACGTCCATCAGGTGATCGTATACATCCTCTGGGGTGTCACGGATCGTCCCCACATGGAGCACACCCGAGTTCAAGAACACAACATCCAAACTGCCGAAGCGGGCATACACCTGCAGGCAGGCAGGCAGGCAGGACACGAACATACAAACAAACAGATGAGAAGAGGAGGATGGGTTAATGAGAAGTGGCCGACGAGTCCTCCCACACACGAGCATCCGTATCATCTGACCTCATCGTAGAGTCGAGTGATCTCACTGACGCGCGAGAGGTCGGCCTGGAAGATCGCCCCGCTCCCGCCGGCCTTCTCGACGGCCTCGAGCGTCGCCTTTGCCTTGGCCTCATTGCCTGCACACACCGAACAGAGAAACACACAAACACAAATCGATGAATGCAGGCAGGCCTGTGCTTGGATACCCCTCACCAGAGTAGTGGATGGCAATCGTAGCGCCTTTCTCGGCGAATGCGACGGCAGCTGCGTTACCGATACCTCCACTGGCTCCAGTCACCAGCACCACGCGGTTATGGGTTTATGCGTCTGCAGACAGACAGACATCGACGCACAGACCGAGCCATCCACACCCAATGGCATGCCCGCCGCAGTCGGCTATGTGCTCTGGTGCCTGGTGGTGGGCGGGTAAGGGGCTGACGCGCGGCTGTAACCGTCCCCCGGCGCGGCGCGAGCGGTTCGGGGAGGCACAGAACCTTTACTCACACACGCGCGCACACACCGAAATGAACACCCACACAGCGGCAGCCTCTGTCCGTCCCTCCGTGTGTCTGTTTTGTGTGCGTACCAGCGCCCTGCTGCAGTGACGAACAAGGAAGGGAATGATGAGATCCCTGCCTGCTGCATACAGACAGACAGATACACACACACACACACAGACAGACATACGCGCGCAGGTATGTGTTCGGTCAGCGTCTGTTACGTACGTCAGCGTCTGTCAGCGGTGGAATGTGGGAGCCCACTCGTAGGGTCATAGGGTTTGTCGCCTGCGAGCTTAGGGAGGGAAGCGCGGGTAGCTTGGGCGAAGGGGAGTTTTTTCGACAGCGCAGTGGCAGATCTGACACAAGAGGTATGCTTCTCACTCGTGCATTACGTGTTTGGGGCCGCAAAGAGGCAGGCAGTGGCGGCACACAGACCAGCCTGAGGAGGGGCTGACTGACCCCAGATAGACAGAGAGGAGAGCACAGCTAGGCAGAAGCAGAGCACACACGATGGATGACGTGGCAGCACGCTGCGCACCGGAAAGAGAAGGAAGCATAGCAATCAATGGTCTGACTGACTGACTGACTACCTGGTGCCTTGTGGTGTGTTTCCCTGTTTGTGTGTGTGTGTGTCTATATGTGTGCGGCCATTAGGTGATCGATTTGTCATGAGTTTACTGAGAGCTGCCACTGCCCATTTTTGCGTCATTTTTGACTCTTGCCTGTGTGCTGTGGCGTGTTTGCCAATGCATGTGCGTTCCCCCGCAGTTTGCCTTGGATCCGTTGCATTTCATTCTCATCATCCATCACACAACACTCCCTCGGGACCATCATGTCCAAACCTGCTCGTGTGGTGCTCGGTGAGCCACCGCAACTGATGACTCGTGTGAGTGTCTGTCTGTCTGTACGTGATCATTCAGTGACTGGAGCCAGTGGTGGTATCGGCAATGCAGCTGCCGTCGCATTCGCCGAGAAGGGCGACATCGTGGCCATACACTACGCAGGCAAGGCATAGAGGGAATGATCTTCCCGCGCCCAGCATCCATACCCGTGTGTGTGTTTCCCTTCTTGCAGGCAATGAGGCCAAGGCCAAGGCGACGCTCGATGCTGTGGAGAAGGCCGGCGGGAGCGGGGCGATCTTTCAAGCCGACCTCTCGCGCGTCAGTGAGATCACTCGACTCTACGATGAGGTCAGATGATACTGATGCTTGTGTGTGAGAGGCCTCGTCGGCCACTTCTCATTAGCCCATCCGCTCTCTTCTCGTCTGTTAATATCTTTTCTGCCTACAGGTGTACGCGCGCTTCGGGAAGGTGGATGTTTTGTTCAACAACAGCGGACTGTGGGGCGAGGCGCACATCAAAGACACCACAGAGGAACTCTATGACAGGTCAGGCAGGTCAGGCCATGGTGACTGGATCCGGGGATGAGCGAACGACGCTTTCCCTTCCTTTTACTCTCTCTCTCCTTCTCCCTCTCACTCATTCAGGCTCATGAATCTGAATGTCAAGGGGATCTTCTTTTCGATGCAAGAGGCCATCAAGGTCCAGATCTGCTGCCTCCACACCACCAGCAGCACGCCACACACACAAACATACAAACATCTGTCTGTCTGTCTGTCTGTTAGCGCATGGGTAAGGGCGGCGTCATCATCAACAATAGCAGCGTCCTTGGCAGCCACCCCTTGCCCATGGTGGCCTGCTACTGTAAGCTCAGCAGAGAACACCATTGATTTGTGCGAGTGCATTGTGTGAGCATCAAATGACTGAGTTGCTTGTGTGTGGTGGGTGCAGGTGCGACCAAGGCGGCGGTAAGAGATTAGATGATGCATTGGACTGGACGGCGGGGCGGCCTGACTGACCACAACAGACAGACGTGGATGTGTGATTCTTACAGGTCAACATGCTTACCAAGTGTGCCGCAAAAGAAGCCGGCGAGAAGGGCATTCGGGTCAATACTGTTGCCCCAGGACCCACGTTGCCCGGTGAGAGAGCATTGATAAACGATGGATAGATGCCACAGACAATTATGCGTGTGTCTGTGCGTGTCTGTGTTGTGCGTGTGTGCAGGATTGCTTCCCGAGGACTTCAAGGTAACGAAAGACATGGAACGAGTCATGCAGGGCGACATCATTCACACGCTCTTCTTGCCGTGTGCAGAACCAGATGGAGCAGATGTCGCCGTTCAAGAGGATCGGCGAGGCGAGGGAGGTCGGGTCCCTGTGTGTGGCGATCGCCAGCGACGATATGGGCTGGGTGTCGGGGCAGGTCATTAGCGCTGATGGGGCGGCCTTCTGCTGACTGACTGAGTGCATCGGCCCCTTCATCCGACCGTCGTCCGTGTGTGGCTTTTTGACCCCTGCGTACGACGGAATTTTGGCTCGTTGCGTGCGTGTGTTGTCATGAGTGAGAGTTTCTTCTGCCGAGTATGGGAGCGTTTCTCTCCCACTGTCGGGTGGGTACATACGTCGTCCAGATGACCCACATGGATTTGAAAATGCCATGGATTTGAGCACGTGTGGTCAATGCATCCATTCATACGTCCGTTCATACATTGATAAGAGCATGCATGGAGTGTGCGGCCGCCATGCGTGTTGGGGTGAGAGACGTGTTTGGGTGAGTGAGTGGTCTGTCTGTCTCTATGTGTCTGTCTCTTTGGTCTTGATTATTGGACAGCACGCTGCTGTTGATGGTGCGACGCACGGGGGTGTGTTTTCTAGTGGTCACACACTAAAGCTCATTGGGGTGCATGTGTGTGTGTGTGTGTGTGTGTGTATGCACCGGCCGTCGACTTGATACATGTAACCTGATCAATCGACTGACTGACTCAGCCACATGCTTAATCCATGGGAAGAGTCCACTTGACGGCCGTCACCCGCGGCACACACACAGGCAGACACACTCCACCACACAGTCACCACGAGAGAGAGATATGGCCGGCAGGTGAGTCAGCCAGGCAGTCAAACACACTCACACATCGGCCGAGGCATCACATCAAATCGGCCGGCAGCGGACCGGACCGCACCAGATGCACCCACACCCATCAGAGCCACGCCAGCCATTCGAGCACACAGCAGCAGCAGCTGGTCCACACAGTGAGCGGTGGGCGATGTGTCCTGACGAACAAACCGATCGGCGACAGAGATGAATGACGACAACCAGCACCCAACTTGAGATGCACTCCTGACAACACACACACAGAGGGCAGGGCGGCACTCAGCCACATGGCGACACTGGGGATGTATCGCTGCGCACCCACCAGTGCGTGTTGGCTGATGGATCGATCAGCCGCCACCCTCCGCCTCAGCCGCGGCACCCTCACCTGCCCAAGGCACAACACACACACACACACACACACGAGTGTGATGCAGGTCACTGCTGCAGGTCGACGTGGGGTTCTCTATGGTGTGTGTGGCTGTCTGTGTACCTCCGCCGCCCTCTCCGCTGCCGTCATCCAGACCATCACCCTCATCGCCGCTGCCATCGTCCGAATCTGCACACACCACACACAGACAGAGAGAGAGAGAGAGAGAGACAGAGAAGGCACATCTTCCTTTCTTCCACCTGTGTGTGTCCGTACCATCGTCGCTGTCATCATCATGTTGTTGTTGCTGCTGCTGCTGTACTTGTCCGTCGAATACGAATGACGCCACTGCACCCAACGCCACGCGAGCCATCTGAGTGGTCACCGGACAACGGTGCTTGAACAAAACACCCTCACACACAGCCGCCTCAGTCGTGTAGACAAACACAATCACTGCGCACAAGGGCAAGAAACACTGATGAGATTCGACCAGCAGCAGTCCCTCTCTGTGATTCTGACCGTCGTTGTCTTCTCTATCCTCAATCTCGATCCACGCGACGAATGGGTGGCTGGCGTCGGTCAGCACCAGCTGTCGCGCACGACCGTCCCAGCTCATTGTGGTTGTCCAGCCGGTCACCAGTGTGTGGGGCGACTCGGTGAAGAGGTCATTCAGACGACCGCCACCGACACCCCTGAAACAACCACACCAACACATGACTTGTGGTGTCCCCTCTCGACCCCATTGGTTCCCTTGGTGTGTTACCGATTGAGTCGAGTCGATGTCTGATTTTTCTGGCGATCCATGTGGAAGTGGTCGACGATCTTTTCCTTGGCAAACGACAACACTGACGCATTGGTGAACCCCTGGCCACCGAATGACATCCATCCGCCGATGATGCCCCAGTACTCGATGCGGCTGCGCACCGGTGGGTCATGTGGCTGTCGATGCTGCTGGTATAGGTGGCCGGCAGGGAGGGGCGGGTCGACCTCCAGCTCGAAGTCGGGCTCGTCGATGATGGCCCGCACCTCACCGTTGCCGTGTTGGAACAGCTGGAGGCAGCTGCCGTCACTGAAGCGGACGTGGGGGCCGACCATCTTGAGCTGCGCCAACACACGGGGAGCCGACACATAAGCCTACACACACGACCACACACAGACACACAGAGAGAATGAGGCCCTCTCCTTCCGTCCCCTCCCCTCCCCGCCCGTCTGTTTGCCGGCTCACCGTTATGTTTGCGTGTGTGTTGATGTCAGCCCCACTGAGGGTCACAGGCAGCTCACAGTTGCCGCACTGCTCCCCCAGCTCAATCACCTCGCCCACCTCGCCCCAGTCCCCTTCCTCCACCACACACACAGCCGCCAGCAGATCATGTTTGCCGAACTGGTCGTCGTCGAACCGCAGCAGCTGCACTTGCTGCCCATTCACCGCCCGCCGCAGCAGCCCCGCCTGTGAGCCCAGCGAGTGGCTGAGCCGATCTCTCAGCTGCGCTTCTCCGAAGAGCTGTTTGAGCCAGGTGCAGGTGGCCTTCAGCCGCACGACGTCCTTGACGCTGAGGAGGTACCGGCTCCTCCGGCCCACACACAGGTATGACACGGGGTGCTGCCGCTGCTGCTGCTCGTGGTGCTGCATGGGATGGATGGGCCAAGACGGTCAGATGAGTGAGTGAGGCGGTGGTCGACGAGAGGCTGCACAGGGCGACAGCCGACAGACACACAGAGAGAGAGACAGACAGACAGACAGAAAGGCCAACGCATTCATTGAGGTCAGTGGATGAGCGCATCACTCAGTCAGCGAGTCAGTGAGTGTTGGGCCTCCCTTACCTCCGATGTCTGTCAGCTCAACGGCCCGCCACCCACCAAAGCAGTCGAGAGGACGACTGACTGACTCCCTTGGACTGACTAGGGACTCTTCTCGCCCTCTTGTCTTGTCGGCCGAGTGCCTCACTCTCGCGGCGCACAGCTGTCCGACAAGGCGCACAAACAAAACGCCGCACTTTGGCCTCTCGGGAATGGGGCGATAGGGTAACAAACCCTTTGACCCCTCGTCAAACCGGCTCTTTCGGTTGTTGAGATTTAGCCGTGTCCTCATTCCCTTCGTTGCGTGGTCGGCCCAGCCCACACGAACGTGTCAGTCAGGCGGGGCGGCTGCTGGCGGCACTGACAGACACAAACCGGTGTGGCGGTGCCTCAGCCAGGTCAGTGAGTCAGTGAGTGAGGCCTCGAGCATCGCCAGCCATGATGCTTGTCATCTGTGTGTCTGTGTGTCATCAGCGCTGATGGTGACGACGATACGTGCTGAAAGAGGACAGATCGGCCGAAGCGCCGACACCTGAGTGACGCGTCTCTCTCCCTCTCCCCCTCTCTGCCTCGTCGACTGACCAAAGGCACCAAGACAAGGCGATACCTCTGACGGCGGGTGTGCCCGTCTGATGGTACGCAGACACCAAAAGGGAAAGGGACATACAGAAAGGCCGATGACGTCTGTTTGTCTGCGGCGGTGTGTGTGTGTGTCAGCTTTGACCGATGTGCTGATTTTGGGACAAGCGAGACGACGACCGAGCCCTCTATCTCTTTGCCTGCTGAGTGCTGCTCGTCCGTGTGTGTGTGTGTGTGTGTGTGGATCCATTTGTGTGTGGGAGGCAGGATGATCGGCCGATGAGTCGACGGACCCCCTCTCTCTCTGTCTGTGTCTGTCTGTCTCTCTGTCGCTGTGTGTGTGAGGTGACGGCTGTCGTGTGTTGGTCGGCCTTATCTCTCTGTGTGTGTGGACTGTGTGGGGTTTTGCGTGTGGGCCGTCTATCTGCTGCCGTGAGTGTGTGGGCCGGTGAGTGGGGGGAAATCTCACAGACAGACAGACAGACAGAGAAGGGGACGATTGGCTGATTGGCTGCACAGAGAATCGCTTTGTGGGGCGGTGTTTGGCCTGCCGTCTGGCTGTGAGATGCTCGAGTGGGATGGCTGTTGGCGAGAGCGTGTTGATCTCTCGTCGGTGCATCCGTCACACACGGGCGGCTCACAGACAGACAGACAGACAGGCCGACAGGCCGACACACACACCGATCCGTCCGTTCGCCTGGATTGGAAGGAGAGAGAGAGAGATTGTCTTCCCCTCTCTGTGCATCTGGCTTGCACAGAGAGGGGAAGACAATGCACACCACCTCTGTGGTGAGTGGTTTCCCTCTCCCTTTGTGGGCATCTTGCACACCAACCGGCAACCTGAGAGCATCAGCCCATGTGTGGTGTTGGTGCTTTGGCGTTGCCGGGTGGTGACAGAGATGCACACAGAGGGAAATGGACAGACACGCGACAGTGTGATGATTCGATGTCGACACACACTGACGCACATGCCCGTATGGATCTTACGGATGGGTGCCTGCCTCTCTCTGGTGGTGTGAGTGTGTGTGGGTGCCCGACGCATGACATAGTAAGGTGGTGGGTGCGCTTTTGCCATCCCACCCACATGACCCACCGCTGACACCCACGGAGTGGATGCCCCTCTCTCTCTCTGCCGACGGGTGAGTGGGGGGCCTGGCGTATTGTCGAATGAACTGAGGCTTTATGTGTGTGCATCACATAATGGTGTTATGTCTGTGTGTGTGTGTGTGGGAAGGAGAGAGAGAGAGAGAGGCGTTTGTTTGCTTCCCTTTGATGCGCATCGTGTGCTGGTGCGCTGATTGTGAGCTGCTTCATGGACACGTCACACATTGAGTGTAGGTCCCCACTCTCTGTGTGCGGTAGCCATCGAGCGACTGACAGACAGACACTGTCCACACACGCACGTTCCATGCACACAAAGGAGGTAAAGACAGCCGACTGCTGCCGGTGGGTCATATGACGTGGATGAATGGATTTCCCTCCGTCTGTCTGTCTATCTATCGGTCTGTCTGTCTGGTGTGATGTGTTGTGTGTGACACTCGCCATGTTCTTCGATCTGCTGATGCGCAATGGGCGCTGTTGGCTGTCAACGTGTGTGAGGGAGAGAGAGAGAGATTTTTCTGTTTTCGCTAGCTGTGATCTGTATGGCATTAGTGTGGCTTTGCTGCCTTCGTGTCCCTCTCTGTCCTTTTGTGGACATGTCACAGCGGTCGGCAATCTCAGAGTGGCAGCGTGTGGCTGTGTCTGTCGCTCTTTGACTTCCGGGCGGCTGCCGAGATGCACACAAAAGGGAGAGGGGGGCTGTCTGATGGACACACTGACACAGACATACACTGATGTGATGTGTGGATGTGCCTCTTTGCCACTCTCCGCTGACGGCCATGTGTATGTTGCCGTCACGGCTCTCACCTGCTGGCCCGTCTGTCTCTATGTGTGTGGGTGGGTGGGCAGGAGAGAAAGAGGCTGTTTTGTTTCTGTCTGTTATCGTGTCTTCAGTTTTCCTACCTGCCTTCCTGTCCATCTCCCTTTGTGGGCATCTCTGTCACCGCCCGGCAACGCCAGCGCATCAGCCCATGTGTGGTGTCGGTGCTTTGGGGTTGCCGGGCGGTGACAGAGATGCACACAAAGAGAAGAATGGACCCACACACACGACTGATCACCCATCCCACCAAATATGGCAGTGGATGTGTCCTCTTGCCGTCCGTCTATGCAGCCACACACGCACATGGATGGATGGATGTGTGCTTTGCCTTTTCTACATGAATCGACGCTGGATATGTCTGTGCGATACGTATAGTGGAAAGAAGAGAGGTATAAGATGAGCGCATTAGCTCTCATGTTTTACAGAGGAGAGAGTGAGGGAGAGGTCTGTTCGCTTCCTTGTGGTGTCAACGTATTGGCGTGCTGACACCAGTGCTTCTTGGTGACCGAACACATTAAGTGTTGATCATCGCTGCATCTTGGTGACCGAACACATTAAGTGTTGATCATCGCTCTCTGTGTGCGATGGCCGTGGAGCGGCTGACAGACAAGACACAACCCAGAAGCGGATGGATGGACAGAAGACAGCTGTGTTGACGAGACGGAACAAATACACTGTGACTCGCACACATTAATGCATCCGTCATTGTACCTGCGTGTGCATCACATGATGCAGTCACGCTAACCCACACACCACATGCCGTATTACGCACACATACATCGCTCAGGCCGCCACAGTGGGAGTGAGCCGCTGCCACACATCCTCACACACATGCCGCACCTCAACCACCTAATTGAATATCACACACACACATAACATCCAGCTCTTTAGGGTTTAGGTTTTAGGGTCTAGGGTTTAGGGCTTAGGGTTTAGGGCTTAGGTTTAGGGTCTTAGGGTTTAGGGTTTAGGGTTTAGGGTTTAGGGTTTAGGGTTTAGGGTTTAGGGTTTAGGGTTTAGGGTTTAGGGTTTAGGGTTTAGGGTTTAGGGTTTAGGGTTTAGGGTTTAGGGTTTAGGGTTTAGGGTTTAGGGTTTAGGGTTTAGGGTTTAGGGTTTAGGGTTTAGGGTTTAGGGTTTAGGGTTTAGGGTTTAGGGTTTAGGGTTTAGGGTTTAGGGTTTAGG